AGTCATTTCGAGTCGAGTTTTTTCTGAATTCTGGTTTTGAGTTGTTTCTTTACACGTCAGGTCATATATAACCGATTTTGATAACTATTTTTTGTTGGAAAGAGGGTACCTCAGTAGTGGTCCCATTTAAATTTGGAAAAAAATATTCCACCTTTAAGGGTGGTAAACTAGGGGATGAATGACTTTTGAGGTCGGTTTTTTAGTACTCTGTACTGAGATTATTTAAACTGTAGATACTCCGTGAAATACCGACTACTGACTCTTTTCTTACAAATTCAGTAAAATTAGTACTGCGTAAAGATTATCAAATTCAGAGTTAAGTACCAGTGCATAAAAGTTGTAATCTTGTTGTTTGCACTGTACAGATAGCACGTACGTTAAAGAGATGCTCACGCTTTTGTCCTATTGTAGTCGAAAGTTCAAAAGATAAGACGAATTGGTCCAAATAATATTTCGTCAACTATAACATCTTTTGTAATGAGGCTTATACATAAAGTAATAATAGACTATTATAAACTGACAAACGCAAAGGAAAACAATACAACACACACGTACATAAGGTGAAATCGCACCCCTCAAGGGAGAATGGCATAAGTGCCATTCTTCCATGCGGGGTGCGAAATGTTGAATGTGTCTGAAGTATAATAAAACAATATATAAGAAGCTAAAGCAATCATACCGCGAGGAGTTGCTTTTCATTCTATTCACGAATATCTCGACTTGACTTTTAAGCGATTCCACGAACTCATCAATCTCTTTGTCCTCAGCGTCATCGTCTTGATTCTTACTCGTGGCAGGCTTGGCGAATTCCTGTTGATATTATTATACAATGTTCCGCATAAATATCAAGGTCAAGAAATGTACATTATAAATTAAAGTGTAGCTGGTTATAGTAAGTGTAGCCATTACATACGGTTATGCTACCCATAGTCTGCAGACACGCATGGAGGTCATTCACGTCTAGTCCCTCGACTTGCACATTTGATCCTTTTGGAAGTAACGTAGAGACTTTCACGTGGCATTTCTTCTTTAAGTTTTGTTATGATACAAAGTGACAAGACGAACAAGTCGTGCGCCTAGTGGAAAGCGACACGACTGTCCATAGCAGTTGCAGTGCCACTGAGAGCAATAAATGGCAAAGACTTGAAGGACTCTGCCACTACGCCCGTCACCCTGAGACGTAAGTTGAAAAGTCCCATGTGGCTGTAATTTAACCAGCACCTTTACCCTTCAAAACCGGGGCTCAGTAGTGCTCACATTACTGCTTGGCGGCAGAAATAGGTAAGGCGGCCATATTTTAAAATTAATAGCCAACTCGAGAACATATTAAAAGTATATATCAATTTGACACAGGAAACCCCAGAATACGTACATTTTTTAACAAATAGACAAGTTATAGTTGTGTATGAGTACTCGTATAAACGCACCTCAACAGTCTCAATAGTGGCGTGAGAAGATGGCGCAGTAGGGGCAGGCACGTTATCACGTGACAGTCTCTGTTCCCAATAGTTGCGGTCTAGGTACCGTGACAGTTCAGAGTTTGTAGTCGTGCTGTGCTCCGGCGATGCACTCACTGACGATGGCGTAGGGGACACTAGAACATGAAGAATTTTAATTTTAGTTTTTGTTCTGATGTGTTTGTTATTATTTTTCGTGTGTTCTTATCTTTTAGAAGTATAGATGTGAGTCGGGCCGCGTCGCAAAAAATTATGTGTTTTAAACTTCCTTGTTAATTATTTACTATATTTTACTACTACCATTAAAATGAAATACGGAACGTCTACACACATCCAACCCACAATATGATTTAAATTAAGAGCGTTTATATGCGATTCTTTTTTTACAAACATTCTTTGACTATTTTTAGTAACAGTACCTACTTACCTGTAAAAGTACAAGTTACATTGTAAAAAGTGTTAAAAATGAATCCAAGGGTTGATTTAAACTATGTATTGTTATTTTGAAACACTTGAAAAATATATGCCATGCTGACCCCCGCCAGATTTTACGAGCGGCTCCCTTTAGGAGCTATGTCTGTAGCTGAGTCATTGACTCAATTGACAAGTTTGTTTCATTTAATCATTTCATTTTTATTTGCAGATGTAGTAAATATCTACTAAATAGTGTAAAGCAGAAGTAAATTATGAGCTACATTGACTCAGTTTCAAAGGGCAACCAGTGAAATGATGTAATCTCACTGATCATCATCCGTCATGTTGGTGGCCCCAATGCTAATTTAAAGACAAAACTTATTTAAGCTGTACTACGAACTTAAAGTTAGTAATGGTAATAAATATGCAGATAATAAATGCCAGAACAGACAATTTATAGAGAATAGAGGATTATAAGGCCTTTTGCCTACAGTAATAAAATACATAAATAAACAAATCAATCAATGATACATCAAAAAGCGTTTATAATAATCAAAATACTAACCACTAATATACGTTATCGGTTATCATGTATCTGTAAGTATATATTTAAATAAATTCGAAGTACTCGTACCTGGGAGTATTATATCACGTCTACCTGTTATAATACACAAGTAGATTTTATTGTTAACTATTACATTTTATAGGTAATATTACCAGTGGGATGGTGGGGCGTAGGGTCAGGCGCGATGTGGATTCGCGGACGGCGTTCCTTCTCTTTTTGCTCAGCCTCCGACTGACTGAGCGCCAGCGCCAGTTGCAATTCCTCTTCCTCTTGAAGCTCTTCTGCTGTTTTGCTCCCTGGCGGACGTTTCTACGATTATGGAATATAGTATTTAGAAAAGACAATGAGTTGATGGGATGTACACAATGCTTATTTATATTATATTTACTTTGTATACAACTAAGGGTCGTATTCTAGAACTCTACTCAATACACAAGTCAGGACTTGAATATTGCGGTGAGCACTGAAAATCATACTCAAGGCCTTGCCATTAGGGTCGTTTTTCCAGTGCTTGAAACCATACTCAAGTCTGCTCAAATCCTGACTTGAGCATTGAGTTCTGGAATACGAGCATAAGTCTTCTCTGTGAAAGTTTTAAAATTGTTTTCCAATGGCGAGCATAACCTGAAACATCCTACGGGATAAGTAGATCGGTTATGTTAATAATACACTCGCAGGCAATATAGCTACCCAGTCAAAAGTAGAGTCGAAGCTAAGTTCGAAATAACTATTGCAAGGGGAGAGTAAACGTCCCGAAATAAGTACCTATATGTTCAACTTATACATTTCATCTTGCTCCTTTCAACTTTAAAGCTATCGTATTTATTTTACAATAGATCAATATTGGAGACAGTGATAAATGCAGCTCAGGCCGTGATGAATTTTTGTTTTGTTCGTGTTTTTATTTGTGAATTTAAGTGTGAATAATTTTGATTGTTTTTAATATCTTAATTCTTTTTTTTCTGTTTAGTTTCTTTTTTTGCGTGTATGATGTGAGCAAAGCAATACAAGAAGGATCACAAGTAAATAAAAGTAAAAAGAGATTAAAATAGATTTTATTAAGCAAAAAAAATTACTAGTTTAACACTGACAACAATAATTTGTAGCGTCTGATTCAAAAAAAGCAATGAATGATTGTTTGAAGCTATTAATATGTGTATATTAAACTATTAATTGTTTGAATATATAATGTTTTCGAGTTGTAAGTTTTCCATGTCCAATGTTTGAGAAGGAAATGGATGGAATCACGGCGAAAGTTGCAGAGAAGATAGATGGAAACTCGGTGAAGGTAGTGGAGGTGGACGGTAAGGGAGTCACCTAACTTATTAACGCGGATTCGTCTTGATGTGATCGTGTTTAACCATACCTGTCGCATTAAGCCGATTCCCGTTCGCGCGCCGTCACGGTATTTGTTTTTAAACTAGGATCGTTGGCATGCGTACGGACGCGATAGAAAATTAGCAGGAAGCCGATTCGTTGCCGACCTGTAGCGAGCCTCGTTCGTACCAGCCGATGCGAAACGTACAAAGTCTTTTTCGCCCTTACGTTTATGGACATAAAGCTTTTTCTGACCGGCTTAATGCGATTCTGCATGAAGACGATTGTTGCGGAGAGAGAGATTGTTGTGGAGTTGTGGAGAGGCAGATTGTTGACAGTAAGTCGCTGAAGGATGATGAGGATATGCATAGAGACTAGGTAACTTTTGTGGATTTTTTAAAATGTTTGGTAATGGAAATGAATTGTTGTTATAATGTGTTAGTGAATGAGAAGGTACAAACGTGTGACGTTGTGACTGATTAATCATCATAGATGAAAATTGTATTTGTAATTACGGAGACTGCATCTGCGTTTCGTTTTCCTTTAGTTGAAAAATTAATTTGTCAATTTCAATAATCGCAATTTATGTGTGTTCTCTTCTAAGCCTCTTAATTTCTTGCATAATAAATACGTATACAAGACACATTTTGTTTTAATTATAAGTTTCATCCATTTTTTACTCATCTCGTTCTTTTTCAAATGTTTAAACAGGTCCTGTTGCCTTTCGTCTTTATTTTTTATGTCGTAATAAGAAATCATATTAAAACTGGTTCAGAGTTCCATTATCACAACACTTTCAGCATTGTTCTTTTGGCTCTAGTTGACGTAGACTACAAACTTTATTTTTGTCTGTGGCGTGTACGGAAACACAGAGCTATATACACTAATATAATATTTATTTATTACACTCTTTATCAAAAACTAAACGCACCATTGCAAGTACAACAATAAAGTACAAGAAAATGTAACAAAGACAGCTATTTGTATAGAAATCAATGATGCGTACAAGAAACGCATCGACGTAATCATGAATGAACGGTTCGGCGTGACAAGTGCCTGCATAAAAACAATATTTAAAATATTTGTTACATTATATTAATTAATCATCACAAATACAAAGTCTTGAGTGATCTCACAAGGAATATTTAGAACAGTGGACTTCCTTAGACACACTCATTCTACCTTGAGCTAAGGAACAACTAATGCCAAAATTTTGTGACTAGAACCGACTAATTGACACCTTTTCTGGGTGCAATTAGATCTTAGCTTAGTTTTTTGCGACTGGAACCGCCTAAATGGCAAGTTTTTTACCTGACTTGTCAAATTTTAAAAACTCGACCATGGTCACGGTGGAATAACGGAAGATTTCCCACAGCATTGCATTGGCGGAAAAAAGTATTTTTTTATGAACATTTATCTAAACAAATTTTACATTATACATAAAACACTATTATACACTTTGCTTATTTTCACTATTAGTGCTAATAGTTGTATATTACGTAAAAATACGAGACTAAACATATCGGACGCAAACGATTTAAAGTACTGAGTGGCACTGCAACTGTTACGGACAGGCGTGTATCTTAGCATCAGGCGCACTTATTCGTCCCGTCACTTGATATTAAAAAAAAAACATTTTTGCGCAAAAACGTCTGTTTTTCAACGTTAATTTTAAATTAAATTAAATAGAACTTTACGATACTTGTCTTTTTTTATAATGCCGATAAATGCAATTTTGTCAGTACGCATACCAACCAGTGAAAGGATTTTTTTTTTATATTTCTCTTTTACGTTTTAAAGAATGCTTAATTTAAGACCAATACTGTTTTAAATTTAAAGCTATATCTTTTTACCGCCGTCTACATAAATCATTTAATCGATTTATTAGTCTGTCTTGATAAGATTTTATACATTTTAGCTGCCACCTTGGATGTGAGAACACATTAACTAGCTGCTCTCAAACTAACGATATATAACTAATATTGTAATAAATATTTGAAACGAAATATTTACTCATTTCTAATAAAAATTATTAATACCGACATCGTTAATTATACGTATATCACAAAAATAATTATTTTCTCCTTAAATACCCTAAATAAACCAAGTCATGTTTTACTATAAAAACATAATATTTTTCGAGATGCTATACAAAATGCACCATGAGATGTTATTTTTGTTATAACACAAATATTTATTTCATCCATAAATACCCTAAAAAACCAATTGTCTTGTTTTACTATAAAAACATATTTTCCGCAGTGCCAATCAAAGTGCACCACTGTGCAGTGCATTGGCGAGGTGCGACTCTTGAATCCACCGGGCTTGGGAAGCCTTCAGCTTTACAGTGATGATTTATTTTATAGGTAACTTATTTTATACAATCCAAAGATTCTCCTAATCGAGTTTCATTAATTATTGTTGGAATAAAATTAATAACTACAAATCCCTCAATTTATTTAATTAAGCAAAGAAACTGGACATTGAAAAATATTATTAAACATCAAACCTAATTATTATCATAAACATAAAGAACATTAGCTAAAAGGTCATCATAATAATTATATAAACAAAGCTAAACAAAATACATGATAAGAATTAAGATGACAGTAAAACAGAAATTGGATAATTACAAATATTAAGTCCAAACTAAATCTAGACTAAGTCTAAAACATCTTGGTCATATAAACGTTTCAAAGGTAAAATCCAGAAAGATGCTCTTGCTATGTATGGACATGTAGGAAAATGCTGAAAAAAAACTGATATGTTGATAATATTACCTGCATATCAATTTTTATTCAGCTTCCTCACAAATGTAGGGGTTTCGGGCACAGTCAAAGGTATTTTTAATTTCTCTGGAACAAATGGCTTATTTATCACCTTTAATGGGACTGGCTTAGCGTGATGTACTAACTTTGCCCTCAATTTCACTTTTTCCCTCTCCTCGGCTTCAAGTCTTTCTTTTTCTTTTTGCTCTTTTATATGTTCCATTTCCTTTTCTTTATCCTTTAAGTGCAGTTCGAACATCTCCCTCTCTGCAGCCCTTTTTTCAGTAGTTAACTGGAAGGGTTTGGATTTGATTATGTGTATTTCATGGCGTACTGGTTTGAATGGCTCCTTGTAAAGTACACTTGCAGGACGAGCCTCAAACTTAACATGATTTTCTTTGTTTTCAGAAGCATTTGATGAGCTGCTCTTTATAGTAACATGGCACATTCGCTTCTTTACAGCCACTGGTAATGGTTGAGCTTTAAATTGAGAAGCCTGTTTTCTCTCTTCATGTATTTGTTGCTTGATCCATTCCTCTTTTCGTTTTTTTATTTCCTCATCTCTCTTTACAAATGAAAATGGCACTGGCTTTATTGGACCCTGTCGTAGAAGTCGACTTTTCTCAGCTGATTTGGCTTTTAATATAGTACCATGATTGCTTTGCATTACAATGTCATGTCGATCTTCAGATTTTGCTTTCTTGAAATGCAGTTTTGGGCTGTCAGGTACTGTGATTGACACTGAAGGTTTAGGCGGAATGTGAGGCTTCTCCAATATATGTCTAGGTGCTGGCCGCGCTTTAAATTGTAGTATTTGTTCTGGGGATGGACAAGGTGTTTTCTTGTGAATTTCAGTAAGTTTAAACGGTTCTGGAATAGTAGGTGGTTTTTTCGAAACATCAGGTAAGTTTCTCGTACCTTGAAGAACTGACTTTGGAATTGGATTAGCCCTCAGTTTGAACTTTTTCATTTCTTCTAATTCTCTTTCTTCCTTATCCTTTTGAGACTCGATGTGCACTGGGCGGGCGCGCGTTTTGCAACGCAACATTGGTGACTGTGGCACAGTAAGACCAGACACTCCATTGTGCCTCACGTTCTGATATTTCTGAGGTTTTGTAGAGTGAAATCTTCCAGGAGTATCTCTTTGGTAGTGATAAATAGCCTCAGCCATAGAGACGAACTTTGTCTTGGAAAGTTCTTGCGAAGCGCAGGGAGCGGGTCTGTATCGTTTGTCTTCTCTGTTGCTTTGCAAATCCAAACCCATGAAATCCTCCCTTAATGCAGCAATATCGTTCAATGATAAGGATTTCCTCATGCCTACAACCTCACTCCCATCGAAATAGTCCAAATGGTGTTGATCACCAAAATGCTCCTCATCGGGCGACACTGGTTCGTCTTTGATCTTAGTTTCCGGAGTGAAGAAATTTTCGCCACGAAACTTAGTAACAAAGCTTTTCGCCATTTCACACAAAGTTACAACAAATTCGTCTTTAAAATACTAGTTAGTCCTTGTTATCTCCTATCGTATTATTTCAATGCGTCGTTATTTTAAAGACAATTCAAAATATTAACTGTCAGAGTGTCAGTTGTCGACCGGTTGACAATTCGATTATGGTGTTACAATAATATAAACATTTTTACCCGAAAAAAAAGGTACTTTGTCACGGTTAAATAGTAATTTTATGCCAGCCCGGTTAAATGCAGTTAGTGCATGAATGAATTTGAAAGGTGTCATAAACACAATCAAAACAGCCCGCACCACTTTTCAAGACAGGACTTGCTTCTTTGAAGTTAGTTGCCTGGACGAGGTTACAAAAGATCGTGCAAAATGAGTTATAGGTAATTGGTAAACTGTTTTTGGTCAGAGGTTCATTATTTATCTATCTGGTGAGAACTCTTATGCAACTGCTACCACATTATTACGATTATAGAATTTCTCGCAAACATTGAAAAATAGAACAGAACAATCTGTCATTCTTACTCACAGATATTATAGTTAAATAGACACCGCAAGTACCGCAATCTGTATGAAAACCAAGCGTGCCACATTTTTTGTACCTCTGATGACGTCACAAGCGCTATTTAGTGATGGGAAACTTCCTTCGGCACTAAAGCGACTGATTAAATCGAAGACGAATTCAGAATAATGGTTTTTTAAGTATTTGTTGGTCATAATCATTCGTGAAATAATAATATAGTCAAAAAATATCAGAACAAGATAATGAAGTCCTTTATTAATACGTTTTGAAAAAAAAAATTGCTCCGGAAAAAAAACATACTTTATACAATATTTTTATAACATTTTCTCAAGTCTTAGAAATTATCATCCATTTGTTACCATATCGATCAGAATCGAGAACGCATCAAGTGAACATCACAAATCGTAAAATTTGCCCAAAACATGACGAAGCGGCCATATCACGAAACGGAATGCGTTGTACGAAATTATTGCTCGTTTAATATGCGTCGCCTACTAAAAAACACCACAAGTGAACCGCACCAAGCAAAACCGCAATGTATTACGAATCACGCGGTATACACTCGTTTGAATATTTGTTTTCTCGAAATTCATTCAAAATGAAAATAATTGATTTTAAAGTAAACTATGCATATTCTAATTACAAATGTAAATAACTGGAAGGAAAAGTCCATGTTTATCTATCTGCTCACAGCTGTGGTGTTTTTAGTTTCAATTAGGTATTTTTCGTATTTTCGACCCAATGTTTGTAGCATATATACATTGGGCACGCCAAGTACGTACACTTGCGGACTCTATTTAGATATGTTTGTGTTTTTACTTATTCTTACTACACCATCAAGTTAGATTAGTCGAACTACTTTTTTTAAACAATGGCTCATTCGTTCGTATTCAATCTCTAGTTAAAAAAAATAATCTACAAAAAATTATCTTCAAAAGACATTTTCTAAAATAATCCAAGCAGTAGGGAAGTTATTTTGCACTGGCAACACGTCCTGGAATTCGTTCAGAAATTATAAACTTCTACTTTAAACTCCATAAAAAAAACAGAATAAAGTGAAAATGAATGAGGATATTATGTAATAGCGTCATATTGAAAATGTTTTCCTATATTATTATATAACAAAAAAAAACAATTTAAAAAATCTAAGTAACGATGTTGTCGCAGCATTTTAAAAAAAGTCTGTTATATTTCTGAACGTTACTGACTCATTTTAAGTCACAAATTCATAAATGTCAAGTCAAAACAAGCAGATGCACTGACGTGATAACGAGGTGTTTTGTGTAAAGAATAGTGAAAATTCCAGTATAAAGTTCCTTCTTCGGTGATATATTTAACCTATAAGTCGTCGTAGGTAACTTATATAAAATGTCGCAAACAGCATTACCCAATCCAAACACGCTATTACCGTTAGAGTTGGTCGATAAATGTATTGGTTCGCGGATTCACATCATCATGAAGAATGATAAAGAAATGGTGGGAACACTCCAAGGATTCGATGATTTTGTAAATATGTTACTCGATGACGTCACAGAATACGAGTCTACGCCGGAAGGGAGGAAAATAACGAAACTAGATCAAATTCTGTTGAATGGAAACAATATTGCAATGCTGGTACCTGGCGGTGAAATGCCGGGAGAAAACTATGACGGACAGTAATAGATATAAGTTTAGTGTACAATAAACTAATTTTATAAGCAATATTTTATTTTTATTTAGCTGGAAATAAAATCCTGCCTTCACTGTTTTAACACGCAAAATATTATTTGCGAACATATTGTTGAGAAACATGCAAAACAACAGATATTTTATTCACATTAACATAAAAATATTACAGACAAATGATATTAAAATGCACTACAGGAAAAAGGGGCCGCAGTCCACTTATACAGTTCTCGTAAGGAATATTGTTAAAGTACTTGATAAAACAACAATAAATAAATTGTTTATAAGATTAATAAGCCTACCTGTGCAGCAGTTGGCCCATAGTCATTGGAGGTGTCTACAATCTCAAGTTTAGAATTGGAAGGAGGGGGCCGGCTTACTTTGTCATAGCAGGCATCACATACACGGACCTGTAGACAATCAGATTTCAAATTCTATGGTTTTAGTTCTGTTTAATTTAAAAATGAATATAAAAATATTCAAGGCATTGTTATAACGATTTACACAACATCCAAAATACCATATTTATTAGCTATAAAGTTAAGGATATGCTTGAAAGAGTTTAGTAACTATTGACTCATTTAGCAATCATTGATAATTGAATACACATCTTTTGGCTAGAAAATGAATCTACCAATAATCATAATTCCTTCCTGCATATGCAGGCATATTAGAAACTAAGAACATAATTATAAAATTACAACAAACCTCTTTCTCGATGCCAAACTTGGGTAAAGTAGAAGTTTTAGAGCTGCATTGTTGGCAGAAAACTTGTCCACATGCACGGCAGTGGTGCCTGCGCACCATCAAAGAGAACGCCACACGGCATCTGGACATACATACATTAACTACTTTAGGAAAAATTTGTGTACTTTTAAAGAAAAACTCATTAAAATTTATTTAACTTATTAACAATTACAGCAAACTAGTAGAGTAACTTCCCAAAAATAGTTGAATCCCACGGTGAAACATTGTGTCATTCAATAAAAACTTTAAAATATAAAAAAAAACACTTGTTATTCCTTAATAATATTAATATTATAATAATTCATATCAATAGTAATTCATTCTTCTGTCTACTAATATCTCTCTTCTTTATAATCTTTACTTTATTAACCTATTGAGAAATTTATTTAAGAACTTATTCATACATAGGGTTGTTGTTACTCTAAAGTCACAACTTTAAAAAAGGTTTAAAACTCGTATATTTATACACAATAATAATATTCATAATATATGTACTTATGGTTCACTACCCTTACAAAATCTGTAAAAAACACCAACCCACATTAGGCTAGCGTGGTGTACAATGACCTACACCCCCTCCTTTGAGAAGACCTGTGCCCCTTCTGGCATATGTAATGGGTTCACTGTGTGTATGTATACACATAGAAAATAGAATAATTTTGTTAATAATAATATGCTAACCTGTGGCAAACCTCCCCATCTGCCCATTCTGGTGCAGTATCAGCAGAAAACATTGCATCAGATTCTTTTAATGGTGGAAACTTGAAACCTTCCGCTTTTAAAATATTCACTGTGTCCTGTTGACAAAGAATACACTTTTTTAAGTACTTCCTTGTAGTCTACTTGCAGGAAATTAAAACACTGATGCAATGCTTATGTAAACTAACAGTTCATTAATATCTGTTTCTGAACTAAACAAATGATTACCCTTTCACTTCTAACACTCAACAAAATTTATTTATCAAACAATCCAACAAAAATCACAATGAACTTAACAGGTGATTGCACTGTTTCTGTTTTGTGGCATGAATCATCTGATAAGATGTACTGGTATGGTATGAAGTTAGTTGAATTTGTCGCGGTAAATACACCTTAGTCATAGGAATGAAGTTCGCGCAACCTCGACATCGGCGAACTTTCCTGTATATGACCTCATAAAGAATGTTAGCTCGTACTATGGTTCATTCATAGAGATAAAGAGTAATTATCCTTTGGACAACAGACCTCAGTTTTTATTTACTTTATTAAAGTTGCTGTAAAATGGTATGTATTCTTAGGTTACTTTCATTCACAGAAATTGTTAAGGCATAGGTTAACATGTAAATCAATGCCATGAAACTAATTTAACTTTTAAAACATAAAACTAACCTATTTGATTGTTTTTTATATCAGGACCAAAGGACATTGACATAAATTGTGGTGTAGTTATGTAAACACTTGAATAATTTCAACTGATGAGAGTTGGCTAATTAGATTTAATTAAATGAGTTTTGTTTATTTATACATACTGCACTTTCAAGAAATCATAATATTACATGAATGTAGTGTAATATAAGACTTACTGTACTTTTGTGTTCAATTAGCACTTTTAAATAATACTGTGAACAAAGTGGCACAGCTGAGTAACAAGATAATTCAATTAAAGTGTAAATGTACTATGTATAGGTTCATATGTATTTTGCTATAACATGAAACTGTAACCTTGAAGAATACATTATGATTGAGTTCAATGGACTGTCTGTAGATTGTATAATATTTACATTATTTTATTTCATTTATACAAATTCAGTTACGCCTTAGTAATTTTTTATATAGATGGGCAACATACATTCATTTCTACAAAGTAAACAGTGTGAGAAAAAATTATATCTAAGGATACTAAGAAGCAGTGCTTTGGCATATATTTTTATCAATCAATGCATTTGAATATCCAATGATGCCAAGGATTATAACTAGAGAATGGAATAATCAATGTATGTATGTAAACTTCAACAAATTAATACTAATACATATAGATGAAAACTTTTGTAAAATAAGTAATATCATAATATTTTTCGGTTATTGCCCATGGTCCAACTGCATAGTCCAACTCGTTGGACCAGGGGCAAAAAACTTTCTACGGGCTACATTATATGGGCATTGGACCTACTGATCGGTTCAGTACAGTCACCGTCAATATTAATAATGTTACTGGTTCTGAACTAACTACAATTGTTCCGTAGGATGATCCCTGTGACAGTTCATAAAAAATTGCAAGATATAACCTTGTAATAACATGCACTGTTTAATGTATTTTATGAATAATTTTTGTAAGTATCTCTTTTAAGTGAAAATATTATATGGACCGTGCAGTCACTGAAGAGCGCCGCAGCTGGTTGCGCAGCACCCAACGTCATATCTACTTTGGAATGGCGACTGATCAGGCGAGCAAACTACGACGACGGCCTATTAATGTTCGGTTTGGGTCGGCACAACACGTATTTTATGTGAATACGCATTGTAAACGGATTTCGTATGGTGTTTTATGACCGGCCGCCTGCCTGACGTCAACCCTCCTTGGGAATACTCTGTCTAAAATGTGGCCAGAGCCCCTTTCGCTATGTGCAGGGTACACCGCGTGCAGGCGAGGTTGGTATGTGCCCTGGGTAACTACACTCTTCAATGACTGCACGCACCATATAATATTTTCACTTAAAAGCGCTACTTACAAAAAGAATTCATAAAATACATTAAACAGTGCACATTATTATGAGATTATATCTTGCAATTTTTTATGAGCTGTCACAGGGATCATCCTAGAGAACAATTGCAGTTAGTTCAGAACCAGTAACATTATTAATTTTGACGGTGACTGTATTAAACCAATCAGTAGGTCCAATGCCCATACAATGTTGTCCGTAGTCCAACTAGTTGGACCAAGGGTAAAGTTTTTTGCCTCTGGTCCAACTAGTTGGACTATGCAGTTGGACCACGGGCAATAAATGAGATTTTTAATCATTCCAGGACTTTTGGCGGGAAGATAAACCACTCTATGTATATTACTTGAAGTTGAGGTAGCCATCAAAACTAACCACTCAACTCAACATTGGCGAAATCATTGATTATACTGATGGAGCTCTAACACTTTAAGAAACAATTTGAGGTAAATATGTTCTGCGTATTCTGATCTCTGATTATAAATCATCATCATTATTTTGAATAGCTCCAATTAAGATTAATTTACATTACACAGTAGTTTTCTAAAAAAAATAGAATATAAATAATGATAAACCAAACTTACTTGAACAGCTCTATATTTCTGGTTATTGCGGAAGGCAAAGCCCCATGCTTGTATCAGTTCCAGGATCTTATTACGAAGATTCTCATGCGGAGTGGTCTTTACCAGGTCACGTAGCATTTCACAGAATACTTTGGATGCAACTTCATCATGGACTCCAGATCCTGATTAAATTGATCAATTAAGTACTTTAAGTATTAATTTATTTAGTTACTTAATTAGTATCTAAGTTCTTGATGATATTTTTGATGACGCATGATGGGTATCTGGCAGATTGTGATGTTATTTAATGTGATTCTAGTTTTTAAGTTCGAACAAATAATGAAATACAAATATATGGGTTTTTAATAAAGCAGGTTTTTTAAATATTACCTACAAATTTACTACCTAGGTATAACTCACTCAACTCATTTTCAACCAAAGATTTTCTTTTTCTTTTCAAATATCTCTAATATAAACCCATATGTATTCCAAAACACTACAGTGTTCATTCCTTTACAGTATCTGTCACTGTTAGCCTTTGTTCATTGTACCACTATCAAACTTAGGTGACTATATTCAAACTCCCTTCATCTTTCCACTAAAGAGTAATAGAACTTAGTCTATTGATTGGTACACATTTCGATTAAATAACACTTACCACAATTTTTTACAATGCTCTCAAGAGTGAGTAACGCAAACATAGCCTGGTGTGGGTTTGTAGAGTACAGCTTCTTCTTAACTGCAGCCACAGCATATTTGGGGCTAAAAATAAACCATGTCCATCAATAAACACACCAATTCATTACACAAGTAGATAGATACCTAAACTATTTACAGACATTTCTGTTAATTGGAAATGAATCACAATTGTGTACTCACGAGCAATCATTTTGTCTAATCAAGTCGCATATTTGAAGAATCGTCGGCCAATCGGGATCTAGGCGTAGATTACTTGTCGCTTTATCTAGAACAAATTATTCGATCGTATACACATTGCAAATAAAATTACAATTAGTCAAACTTTATACCACCTTCACCTGAAAGAACAACAGTTATTCCTATATGGCTATTACTTTCAACGTCCCTGTTATCAGAGTAGTGTAGAAAGTCGAATGCAAATCAGAGAAAAGTGATTCGAATAAAAATATCACTACGCCTGCACCAAACACAACGTATGATTTATCACGGTAATAGAATGGGGAAACTTAATATAAATTTGCTTACCAAGTAACTTATCGAAATTACTGGTACGAAACATCTTATTACAATATTGAAATAAACTTTGTTTTACAAAAAATCAAGAGATTGATTTCGATGAACAGAAAAATGACAGCACACTTTTGTCAATTTTTGTGAATTTTTTACTTAAATGTTGGCAACAATGTCTGAACGTCAGTACACCTCTAGAGTTGCCTTGAATTACAGAAATATTTGCATCGATTATATAGAATCACTTCATCTTCCCTATGCTGTCTATGGCTTTCAATACCTTTCGCGAAAAAAATGGCGGGCTTTTAAAGTCACGAATACAGTTTTTACAAAGAATAATTTTAATATGTATATTATGAAGAAAATGCGAAGTGAGAAATAGTGATGAAGAAAGTTAGAACTACTAAATTACAAAAGAGTTTATCCTGATAATTCCAATAATTACGAATTCAGTTTTTGTTCAAATTGACGGAATGTGATTTGTAAAAGTGAAAACGCCGCTTAAAAGACTTTTGAAAGCTTAAATAAGAGAACTAAGTTATTTAAGAGAAAGTGAAAACATAATGTTGTAGAACCACAACGGAAAATAGTTATTGCAGATTCCGATAATTAAACGGAGACATGGCTCAAAATACTTGTATCCAAGCCAAAACTCTTAATAAATAAATATTGTCGTGTTTCCACATAGTAAGTTTAATATTTTGCCACTAGGTGTCGCTGCAAGACTATCGCGAAAACGCTTGAATTATTTTGCGTGAATTTGATTAAACTTGTTATTTTCCGACACATTATTGAATTCTCCTATATGGAGCAATTTCATACTTTAATACCTATTAATATTCTTGCCAATTTTAAAATTAACAGCATAGGTGTGGTTTGTAGTACTAACACATTCGAAGCTAATCATGACCACGAATAATTGCACTTTACACAGTCTCAAACTTTACGTGCTTAGCTTAGGTGATTTATTGTTTACAAATTGCATTAATTTACTCAGCTTGAAAGCGCGTTGGTGACTTCATGAATAATAATATTAAAATAAGTTCGAATAGACTAATTAGTTCACTATTAAGATTAGAGGACACCATAAAAAAACTAAATAAAAAAAACTACAAACACCTTGTGTCAATATCATTGTGGTTTATTTTTGCATGATGACGTTATAAAACTTGTAGCATTAATCACAAGTGATTTATTTTCTGCAATCTGAATATAACTGCAATACAATGAGCAGGTACTCGTAATCGCAAATGAGTGGAAGCTCAATAATATTTTAAATAATACGGTTGAAATTAGGTAGAAGTAATGAATACAAGGTATTCATTACAATTTTTTTTTATAGTATCAAGTGACAGAACGCACAAGTCGTGCGCTCTATGGTAAGCTACACGCCTGTCCATAACAGTTGCATTGCCACTGAGAACTTGAAATCGCAAATATTTGAAGGGGTACTGCCACTGCGCCCTTCGTTCTGAGACATAAGTTGATAAGTCTCATGTGCCTGTAACTTCAACCGTATTATTTAAAATATTATTGAGCTTCCACCCATTTGCGATTGCCAGTACCTACCTAGAATTACACTTAGACATACGAAGTTGAATGTTGTAAATTAACTTGTAAATGTATATCACATTACACAAGTAAAATCATACAGGTACTAATCTTCAGCTGTAACGCAACTAGATCAGTGGCGATTAGACAGAAAGTTGCATAATTTCGTACAAATATGACGAATGCTTAATCAAACGAATCTTGGTATAAGTCGAGCTAACGCACTTTTCATGGAGGCTACAGAATTTTGGCTGTCTGTAAAACGATAAAGAACCACTTTCGTACTAATTTAGATGTTGAGATAATGAAGCGCCGACCACACTTTACCGGATCCTACTGTACAATTTCAGTTAATATCTGTAAAGTTCTGTCAAATAAATTTTTATTAATTATAGAAGTAGTATCTAAAATACAATACAACTTCATGAGTTTTCTTCCGTATCCATGGAATACTATTATGGCCTAGAATTAAGCCGACCGACATGCGACAGCCAAACATTACGCTTCCATATTTATACGGCTATGGAGTGGAAGCCTTTGCCTGCAGGGTTATTCCCAGAATGCTATAATTTGGGTGTATTCAAGGCGAGGGTGAATAGGTATTATTTATGTACACACCCATGCTCCGTCGTTAACCTCAACGTCACTTTCCATCAGGTGATATGGAGGTCAAATGCGCACTTATTTCAAAAAAGTTACAGAAATGTATTGTTATTAAAATGAAATAATTGAATTTTAATTAAAATGAGAAAACTGTATTACTTACGAAGTGAGAAAGAAATACAAGTCAAAGTAGGTTTACGACAGAAAAGTTTTTTTAATAACCAAAATTTTATTTGTACCAACTCTACTAAAATTAGTTTACCCACGACAATGACGAAACCACAACCACAAACACCACAACAATGACAAACATTATTCAAAATATGTCATTCTAGAAAAGCTTTATGCGAATAAGAAGAGAAGAAAATAAAACATTTTAAATTAAAACTCCATTCAAAACAAAGCTTTGCTTATATTTATTGCGTCATGTTAGCAATGATAACCATGGCCTTAAATAAAAAATAAATAAAAATAGCCTTTATTCACTGATTACTTCTAAATTAATTCTAAGTCTAACCTAATGCTTACTTCTAACAGTATTAATTCTTAATTCCAACATCAACAGCTGGTTCTAATCAGGTTGTCCTCTGACATAGGCCTCCTCCATATTTCTCCATAAGCAACGGTCTTGTGCCGACGGCGCCATTCTCGGGACAGATCGTCTTCCCACCTTTTTGTTGGCCTCCTCTAAACCTCTTTCCATCTCTTGTCCACACCAGCGCCTTTCAGTCTTTTGATTTTCGTTGTGACATCTGTCACCTTGATTGCCTTCCTAATTCTGGAGTCTACATTTGTCTCTCAGCTTGATGTGTAACATGCTTCCCTCCATCGCTTGTTGGCACACCTTTAGTCTTTGGCTGAGGGACTAAGTCAAGCCCCATGTTTGGCACCCATATGTGAACACTGGTAGGACGCATGTGTTGAAAACTTTGCGCTTATCTGACATTGGTACTGACATTTTTTGCACGCTAGCGTGGAAAAGGTTTTTGAAATTCTAACTTGACAATGGACTGTGGCGCACCTAACTTTTTCTTTCAATGAAAAAAAAATGTTAATGGCACGTTCAATTAAGCGATTTGTCGTACATTACTTATTTATGTAACAAAATCCGTTGGTATTTTTTATTCTTATTATTGTTAATGTCAATTGACAATGATAACTAATTGTGTTTGTTAAATTATTTTAATTCGTCGAACAACTAATATAATTTTAATTATATATTATATACTATATAATTATATACTAAAATAATTTTTAATCACTTATTTACACAAAATAAGAGTACAAGCAAGAATAAAAATTAATGAGGTATAAATTCAGAACGCATCCGAACATAAACTGTTTCTTTCCATTCTAGTGAATACACTTAGAATAATAACGCATAGAAACCTAGCCCGCACACGCTAAGTGAGGCAAGTTAGAGGGTTCCAAACGCGCTCCCAGGAGCGCGCGGGCTGTTAGTGCTGAAGGTCATATTGCACCGCGAACAGCTCCAAAATTTTTTGCTAAAAATGACGAAATGTGCGGTAAATGGGTGTAAAAATACAACAGACAAACATAAAATAGACACTAACATCACATTCCACAAGTAAGTAATGCGTTTCAACTCATATTTTTATGTAATTATTCACTAAAACAGAAAAATAATTTCGCGGCAACAAGATACGAAAGTGTTGCAAAGTAACGAATTTTTTTTCTCCCCATTTTGCTATTCTGTATCAAAATAATTATATTACGTAAATTTTAGTGGTGCCTGTAATTTCAATTTATTTGCGCATCTTGAACTAATATTTACTTGAATAAACATTAAATGTTTTCGTTAACTCCTGTAAGTGATTGGGACACTTAATTATTTTATAATACTTTTAACGGCTCTGCGTTCATGCTTTATTGAATAATTATTTATTTTAATTTTACTTGAATTGGAGCACATATTGCAACAAATTTACAGTATATATTTGTTTCTACTATAGTGTTGGCACCACCAGTACAACTTTGATAGCTTATTATGTCTTTCTTTTCGTAACTTAAGCGAAATATTTTATATTGAAATATTTTATTTTCTTAAAAGGGGAGCATTCTTAAGCGATTTTTTAATCTATTTTAACAGTTATTTTCTTTCATGTTTGCTTATGGCATTTTCGGTTTTAGGTTTCGAATATGGCACTTATTTCTAAATCCAAGATGGCGGGCGCGATTTTTCAAATAATGGCAAGTTGGGTATCGTTTTCGAGATGTTTGGAAATGTTCAATACAAATATGGCACTCATTTCTAAATCCAAGATGGCAAACACGACAGTTCAAACAAAAGCAATATTCGTAATGAGCACCCCCAAATACCTCGAAAACGATACCCAACTTGCCATTATTTGAAAAATCGTGCCCGCCATCTTGGATTTACAAATAGTGCCATATTCACATTGAGCATCCCCAAATACCTCGAAAATGATACTCATATAGCATTTTTTTGAAAAAATCGTGCCCGCCATCTTGTATTTAGAAATGAGTGCCATATTCGTAATGAGCACCCCCAAGTACCTCGAAAATGATACCCATATTGCATTTATTTGAAAACTCGTGTCCGCCATCTTGGATTTAGAAATGAGTGCCATATTCGTAATGAGCGTCCCCAAATACCTCGAAAAGGATACCCATTTTGCATTTATTTAAAAAAACTCGTGTCCGCCATCTTGGATATAGAAATAAATGCTATATTTGTAAGGAGCACCCCCAAATACCTTGAAAACGATACCCAACTTGCCATTATTCGAAAAATCGTGCCCGCCATCTTGGATTTAGAAATGAGTGCCATATTCGTAATGAGCATCCCCAAATACTTCGAAAAGGATACCCATATAGCATTTTTTGAAAAATCGCGTCCGCCATCTTGGATTTACAAATAAGTACTATATTCGTTTTTCATCGACAAAACCGAGCATATCTGTAGGCACCTGATCGACGTTGTCGATCGACAGTAACGATCGACAAAATCGAGCACATCTGTAGGCACCTGATCGACAATGTCGGGCAAATCTGTAGGCACCTTTAACTTAATGATGAGTTAAGCAAGATACAATTTCCCCACTTTTGAGGGAAATGTTATTCCATGGCATCATTATTTGTATATTTGTGTGCGTGCCGACGAGCGTAGTTACAAGTTGCTTACGCCTACATGAATTTGGTTTTTGCCTCACTTGTGACAGTTCGTTTGATATGAAACTATCATTCTATGCGTTATTATTCTAAGTGAATACATAAGTTTTCTTTTCCATCCTATAAGACATAAGTAGTTCAACTGTTTTTCTTTCATCTACCATTTCCTTCCCTCGTGAGGTGAAAAGTTATGTGTTTCGCTCGGCAGCAAAGTTGTTTTGCGTCTCGTGACTTGAAACCTTCGCTACGCTTAGGAATCTATATTTGGAACACTTAATTCGCTCGTGGTTCAATCTTAGCATCCTTCGCTTGCTCAGGTTTCAATGCAAACAACAAGTTTGCGGCCTTGCATAACAAATAACTATTTTTATAATTTTGATATTTAGTGCGAAAGTTCTCCCCGCGAATTTTGTCTAGCCTACATCATAGTTATATAGTCATAGCCTACCATAATTATATTTTCGAGGAATCATTGTTCCTCTCCGCTGAACCTCAGTCTGTAACAATCAGTCTCAGACAAGACTTGTATAGCAGCCGTTTCGAAAAATGACGAAAATTGAAATGAAAATTGTGCTGATTATGCTATCCTATCCATCCTTTAATCTATATATTTACCGTATTCTATTAATCTAGAGCATGTAAAGTCGCTTAGTGTTAGTCAAACTTCGCTTTACTTTAACAAATCACATACAGAATGTGGCTCATTAAATACTTTATAATATAAAATTGAACGCAAACATGGACTTGTTTGTGTAAAAGTCACCGTAAGTTACAAGTTATGGTATTTTATTTACACACATTTACTACAGTATTATGTTATTAATAAAAAAAAAACTGTAATGGAAAGTTGTTATTCAAATAAGACATCGAGATTTAAAACTGTAATTATATCTTGATCGCAGCGAAGTTGAATTTTTTTTTTTAGGTTCACAAAACTTAAATGAAATTAAAATTAATGTAATAATGTCCATGCATCATTACTTTATTGCGCTAAGAAACCTTTATCTCAAAGAAGAAGCAAAATAGTGGGACAAATAAATAAACTAGAATAATTTTATATTGCTAACTCATAAGCTGTCGCATAAAATGTACGGGTAGCCGTAGCTTTGTCCATGCCGTAAAAATTTCTGAGATCTTTGGCGGAGCAGAGCGGAGTATTTACTCGAATTGTCTCATCGAACTTAGAATAGTCAATAACAAATCCGTTTCTCTTCTTCTGGTAAGATATGAGCTGAAGAAATCGATGACCCCACAAGATTTCATGGGCTGTATAACTTGATTTCACCTGAACAAGTTGACCAGTCGATTCAATAGTGCCATCGAAAAGGACAAGAATTTCCAGTTTCGACTTCAACATGTCATACGCTGACATTCTGAAGAAAGGGCTGTTCTCATTTATTCGGTGTACTGCAGAAATTGGAAACATGAAGGAAATGTCGTCGGATGCGTCGACTGTTAGGTCAAGTTTTATGTGTTCGTTGTCTAACATATCGCTTGTTCTAGTGCCATATCGAATTAAATAAGCGTGGACGTTCACCGCTATGATCCTGGATTTTCTTGTATTGCCTACTCGGAAAGTCAAACAAAGATCACGGTCTCTTTGATTGATAATGGCATTCTTGGAAAAAAGTAAAGTATGTGCACGATTCTTTGACCTTGTCAACTTCGCGAAAACTATACCAACAACGAAAGACTGCACTATTGTACCAAGAATGCTTTCGATGCACATAACAATCATTGCAACTGGACATGCAAGAGTCAGAGATCTAGTGCCATAACCAATAGTAGTGTGAATTTCGATACTAAACAAGAATATTGAAGTGAAATCGTAGATTTCTCGCACACAGGGTGTCCAATCAGTGGCATTGTTTATATGTGGTAAATGATCTGGCTCTAAATCACCGTGAATATAAAGAATGGACCACCATATCCCAGCGAATAATGACCATGTAGTTATGTAAGTCAGGAAACAGTACACGAGGGTCCATCTCCACCTGGCTTCGATGAAAACTGTCACGATATCAGGGAAGACGGAAACGCGGTATTTTGACGGTGACTTATCTAAATTGACTTGGCCGTTTTTGAAAATCATGCGCTCTGTGCGTCTTCTATTGCTTGAATTTCGGTGAATCATCCTTCTGTAAATTGCAGACGTAAAGTCAGTGTGGGATCTCGTAATAATTTGTTGTTTTTACCTATCCTATACTTAACAAAACACATACACACCTGTGAAAGCGGCAACATATTTTACTCGGTGAAGTATTCACAACTTTTTTTACAATATCTGGCATTCCACTTTCAACATAAATAAGATTTTCTGTTTCCTCCATGTTTAGATACAATTCAATAGGAGGTATGTTTTTCCAGTTTGCGTTTCGAGGAATGTATGATTTGTACTGACTTAGGTTGCACACATCCGTCTGTGTCACATTTTACAGCTCATAAATAATATAATTATAACACGTTATTTGTACAAGAAAGATAAGACGTTCATGACATACCGGTACTGGTAGCCACGTATTTGTGCGAATAATAGATTGATTGATATAATAAATGTGAGGACAATTTCCAATGTAACATTTAGGTATATGTGTTTACCCCAATTTTTCTTTCACATGTTGTTTCACATTTTTTATTACTAAAGTTTTTTTATCGATAACTGCCAATATATATATTACACACACATATTTATTATGTTGGTGCGTTCCCACGGCCCGTGATTTCAAACGCGCCGATTTTGTGTGGGCGAGCTCGCGAACAGGCGTGTCGGCGCCGGGCGGCGGCGAGATTTGTATCGAGAGCAAAGGCCGCGTGCGTTCTCGCGCCGCACTGTTGATGATGTTACCGACCAGCAGTGGCGGATTCGAATAGGCCGCTACAGGCGAAGACGGGCGCGCTCTGGCGGCCCTCTTTCCACGGTGCGCTTTCAAGAAACACGCGGCGTGGGCCTTGAAACGGGCCATGGGACACAGTCTTATACATATACTAGGGGTTGGGGCCTGGAAAACCATATTCCAAGCTCTGTGCTTACTTTGAGCTCGAGTGTTCCACAATACATTATTACTCTAAGTTTATGTAATAATCTGCATCTTTAATGTAACGTTCGTTAGTTTTGAATTGTCGAAATAAATAAAGACCTTAAAGATTTTAACCACACTTCTTATTATAACTATTATGTTTATGAATTGTACAGGTTTTTTATTTCCTTAAATTCATATCGTTTAAGAAATAGAGCATCGTGGCGAGCTGCTACAGTGTGATCAACGGTCACATCTTGATGCTACGATTGAGGAAGAATAGGAATAGGAAGAATGCTCGCGAAATTACAGGCACATTGGATTTGTCAACTTATGTCTCAGGCGCACTGGCAGTGCCCCTTAGGTCTTTGTAATTTAAAACTCTGAGTAGTAATTTGAAACATTGCGACTGTTATGGACAAAAGTGTTACTTACCACCACGCGTACGACTTGTTCATTCCGTCATTTAGTATCATAAAAAAAACATAACAATAAGAAATGAAACTATTTTTCCGGATTTAAATCGCGTATATTTGTTTTCAAACAAACCGACGTTTCGGGCCCTTTACAGGTCCCATGGTCACGGTTGACTGATCCGGAAAAATAGTTTCATTTCCTATGTGTAACAATCGCGAAAACCTAAGAACTCGATACATAATAATAAGATTTATTTTTCGTCGTGGTTTATTTAATTTTATTATATGAAGTGAAGAGCCTGGCACCCTGAGATATAAAATGTCAACTCCCACGTGCCTGTAATTTCACCAGTACACTTACTTACCCTTCGAAACCGGAACGCAGTAATGCTCATATTACTGCGTAACACTGTACAGTGTTATACGAAACCAAAGCGATTTATTTGTTAGATGAACGATAAGATATCAAATACACGTGATTAATAATTAACATCACTTATTTTGTACTGCATTGTTACTTTGCCTTGCATAGACTGTTTGTTTACTTAGGTTTTATTATGAGTGCTGTAGAGACGGACTTTTTTATGATATCAAGTGACGAGACGAACCAGTTGTACTGTACGTCGTCTGTCCATAACAGTTGCAGTGCCATTCAGATATTTAGCTCAAATCATTGTTCAAAGAACTAAACATACTGCCTTTGCCATGCATGTACATCAGGGATATCTGCGTATTTGTCAAATCCTCAATATTTCAAAACGCGTAGTGAAATTTAATCAAAGGCAAACTGGAGCAAAAATTATGAATCTTTTGTACCAACCTCGTTGCCATAAAATAATTTATGAGAAAGACTATTTCAACATGTGTATAATTATTTTCAACAATTTACCAAATTAAATTGTTACAAGGACATACTTTTAAATCACAATTGACAAAATAGCTTTTGACAAACTGCTTCTATAGTGTTAAAGAATACTTAGAATTTTCAAATACAAATTTACATTAATAAGTACAGTAGAGACCGAACATGAAATCCTATTAATATTTGCACATCTGCTTGCAGGTTGAATACAATGTACCAGATTTTACTTAAGACCTTTATAATTACTGTATTCTGGCAAATAAAAGTATTCTATTCGATCTGAGGGGCACTGCCTCTGCGCAAGACTCATGTGCCTGTAATGTCACCAGCACCCGTACCCTTCAAAACTGAAACACAATAATTCTGCAGCAGAAAATTTATACTTAATAATAAATTGATACTGCACACTTAGTTCGTTATCAATAAATGCATAATTTAAAAATATAAAATTTAACTTTTAATGACATACGTTTTTTTATAATCAACGAACAAGTCGTGCGCCTGATGACAAACTATACGCCTGTCCATATAACAATTGCAGTGTCTTTGAATCGCAAAGATCTGAGGAGCACTGCCGTGCGCCCGACGCCCTGAGACATAAGTCGACAAGTCCCATGTGCCTGTAATTTCACCAGCACCCTTACCCTTCAAAACCGGAACACAGTAAAGCTAATATTGCTGTTTGGCGGTAGAAACAGGTAAGGTGGCAGTCCCTGGACGAACTCTTTCACATGAAGCTCTACTACTACTTAATAATAAATACGTAGTCATGTAAACAATAAACAACGTTAAGCATTTCAATCAATCTTCGCAAATAAATGGACCTTAACGAGGGACACAGTTACTCGTACCTATTGAAGAATTAATTAGTTGGCTCGCGGCCTGTAATCAAGGTATACACACATATTTAACTCTCTTTTAGTAAACCTACTGAGATTGTGTATGATCCTAGTTACTATAATTAGTAGTTATTAAGTAATAGTTAATAAAACTAAAATTTAGAAAGGTTGTCATGTAATTATCTAATACGATAAACTTAAGTTACACAGGCTATGAGATTATTTTTCGGGCTCGTTAAAGTTATTAATATTTAAAAAAATTCAAATTGTTAAAATAAAATAAAATATTTGTAAAACATATTGTAGCTTAATTTGGAAGGACCTTTGCTAAATTAAAAAAAGGTATTTAAATCAATAACTTTTGTAACTATAGTGTACAAGAGTTTGGTTTGCATTAATATTAGATATAACTGGTTGAAGACTTTACCATCTCAGTCAGCTGCGACTCTTCTAAAAATACCGAAGAACTCAATACATAAGTTTTCATTTCATTAAAGAAAGAAAATATTTATCAATAAATAGTACATTATATAATATATGACTAAATATAGATCACGTGTAATCAAGAAGTCCTGACAACTGCATAGAAGGAAGGAACGATTTGTCCACCCCTGGACATGTCACAGTTATAACTGATGACCTTCATACTGCACGCATCCTGCATTCCTGGTAACCTACGCAGAGGATTACTAAGTACGTGGAACACCTGTTATTCATAATTCCCTCTGACGAGTAGCAAACTTCTCTCTAAATAGCTAACTCGTTACTCCAATTGTTTTAGTACATAGAGCTTCAAGTGCTGTCGATTGTTGTTTCCTAGGGATAATACGTCGAGTTACCCAATATAAATAAATAATATACAATATAGTCGTAGTATAGAAGTATATAAGTATATATACACGTTACGGATATACAAATTTTCATTCATGTACTTTCATAAGTATGTTGCAGAAAAAGCATTTCCTCAATCCCTATCTGGTCGGGATGTAGCTGAGGCCGGCGGAAAGAGCATCGGCCATGACAGTCGAAAGAGCATCACTCGGGGAATTAATTCGATAATCGGCTTGCTCTTGAACGCTATGACATTCTGACATGCTATCTATCAACGACGATGCAGGAAATTAAAGGTGCGAATGCAATCATTGGTGTAAGTGGATAAAGGTGAAATTATGTAGCCACTTAGGTATTTAGTTGTCCGTAAAGTTTAAAATACTTCCCTCTGTTGGTGTCACTTTCACTTTATTCAACATACAATTTTTACAAGTAGTGTTTCCGATCTGCCTTTAACAGCTATTTCTCAGATCTTTGCGATTTAACGACTTGGTCGTTCCGTCACTTGGTGTTATAAAAAAAAAAAACAAGTGACATTTCCGATCCGCCTCGAATAGATTCGAAATGACGGGACGAAGAAGTCGTTAAATCGCAAAAATCAGAGGAACACTGCCACTGCGATTGTCACCATAGGATATTAGTTGACAAGTCAAGGGACTTGTCTGTAATTTCACCAGCACCCTTAGCCTTAAAAACCGGAACTGGGTAAGTTGGCACTTCCTTGGACGAACTCTTTCACAAGGAGCTCTACTGCTACTAAAGTGTAAAAAATTTCGAAATATTAATTGTATTAATTTACTACTTCATACAATTAGGGCCTCAATCATGGCATCGCAGGAAAGCAACGGTTTAAGATGATTAAATACTTAGCTAACTTGACTCTTTCAATTCGCAACAATTCGTCGACAATCTGGGTCCCACATTTCTTAAATATCGCATTAAATGTCATTCAGCCTTAATAGCCAAACAAAGGGTCAAAGTATATGTCTTGCCTTGGCAGCTAATATCCTGTTCGCTTTGTTGGTCAATTTGCATTCCATCCTTCTAACTCTACATTCAGTAGTAGGTCATTTAGAAATGACTAATTAATCATAAGTCCGAACAGCGTAATGGGTACAGAAACTAATGCCTGTCGATTATTTACCAGTGTACTCGTAGCGTATTCCACA